CCCTCAGCCTCTCCTCGTAGCAGAGATGCTCCAGTCCCCTCCTCATCCTCGCAGCCCTCCGCTGGACTCTCTCCAGTAGCTCCTCATCTTTCTTGAACTGGGGAGCCCAGCACCGGACACAGCACTGCAGATGGGGCCTCACCAGGGCAGAGCAGAGGGGAAGGAGCACGCCTATTGTTGGTCTTTGTCTTTCCACATCTTTTGCATGGAGCTTTTTAATTTAATGCTGAAACTAAGATCTCATGACAAATTTTACGTCAGTTGGGCCCATTGCTGTCTTGCTCACATCAGCGTCACATAGAATTCACGCAGGATTTGAGACAGGACTGAAGCAACTGTTATTTAGGGAAAGGAGGGGAAAAAAAGAAAAGAAACCGGAACCCTCCAAGTATTATTTTATGCATATTACATAAATTATAGACGTGCCCAGGAAGCTGAACCAGAGACACTGCACCAAGGGCGGAGGTGTCAGCTCGACCCGCGCTCCACGGGAGCTCGAACCCCGACCCACCCCGAGCCGGAGCCGGCCGACCCGCACCTCGAACCCCGACGGGATCCCGCGCGGCTGCCAGGAGCCAGAGCACCCGACGAAGACAGAACACCACCAGTGAATCGCTGAATTTCCCAGGAAAGGTTTTCAAAACGTAGGAGTATTATTTGAGCAGGAGTATGCAGTAGGAATTTCCTCGTTAGGGCGTTTCTGTAGCCTCCGCTGGAAGCCGAGTACGCGCTGCCACGCTGCTCTCGGCAGAAGATCAAACGCTCTCTGCCAAAATGAATCCCTTAGGCCAGGGAGTGGGAAAAGGCCGTGGAATCGCAAATTATTTTGTGCTGTTGTGCTTACAAGGCCTGACAGAAAAATGATCAATGTTTGCTAACGAAAGCAGCCACTGCCAGAAGGAGCCCGCAGAGAACCAACTTCCACCCATTCTCCAGGACGGAGTCTTCACAAAAACCGCCCTGTTTGCCCCTTTGTGTTAGAGTTGGGTTTTCAAGGATCCCCGATTTTATGATGAAAGCCCAGCGCTCTTCCAAAAGAGTTAAATATTTCAGACTCCTCACGCACGAGAGCGGGACCTTCCCACAGCACTGACCCAAAAGCGGTCCCGCGAAAGGTTCTCCGCAAGCGGTAACACCAGCAGCGACAAACGGCTTCGCGGATCCCTCCGGCAGGTCCGGCGTGTGCTTCAGCAATTCTGGTCTCGAAATTTAGCGACCTAGGGGCACCTCACTGTACAGAAGTCACACGGTCTGACGCCCGGTGGAAAACGGAACAGCAGTGACGGGCAGATTTAGCCTAGGAGAGGGGCGTCTTTAACGCTTCAAAGCGGCGCGAGTCCCTCTCTGCTCCAGGGATCGCTTCCAAAGCGGTGGCAAACGAGTCTCTCGTGGTGACAGTCTGGCTTCAGGCCAAAGAGGGGGAAACAGCAGGGAAGGAGGGTGCCCTCGTGACGGGCGAGGGCTGCCAGGCAGGCACACCAGGGTTAATTTTGCGTGCTTACTGAAAATGCATAAATTGTGATACGTGAGAGATGTGCAAAGTCATTTTCAACACACTTTCTAACAATTATTTATCAAAGACTCGATTTTCCAATTTTCCTTTATGTCTGAAGGACAATTACTGAATGCACTTCACCCCGAGAGGTGTTCTTCTTGTCATGGGCAGCCCACCTATCCCCGGCAGACACGCACTCACTTTCTGCAGGGTGTGAAATCTCTCTGCAAGCTCGGTGCTCGCACAGAATTAAAATCCCAGCCACAACTTGCAAATTCATGATGACATACACTTTCAAAAACTCTAATAAAACACACATTTGAAATTTTTTTTTTTACACTATACAAATTTATATCTTGTTTACGTCAGTCAGCATTTGCACCAGCTCACTGAAAGCCTCGTTTCTTTTATAAAGTTATTACTAAAATATACACTATTTTGAAAGCGTGAAAATTTCCAAACAGTAATAAAATGTTTCATGCAGTAAAAAGGATGAAAACACCGTAACGAGGCATTCCCACATATCCTGAGGATTTCAGTGAGCCCACGACTTGCCTGACGGCCGCGGCAGCAGGGCCCTGTCCGCAGCACAGGAACCGTTACAGCACAACTGAGTTTGTTGACAGAAAATGAAGGAAAACGGCAATTACCCTAAAAGACATTTCAAGATTCTCGCCACCCCAGATATCCATTCCTGCATCGTAAGTTCCTATCTCTTCAAAGTAGTTTCTGTCAATAGAAAATAGGCCCCCAGCCATAGTAGGGGTCCTAGTTGAAAACAAACAGAAGAAAGAAAGAAAAAAAAAAAAAAAAAAAGAGGAAAAAGAAAAGAAAAAAATACCTTTTGAAAGACACTGTGGAATGCATTCAGTGACACTACAGCACATTTCACTACCTCAGACATTTTGGCTATAAATATACTCTATGCACAGGAACCGGAGCCTGCTTCCGACCGCCACGTCACGCTGCCACAGCTCAGGAGCACGGTCATGGTCAAGTGGATGGAATTTCGGCCTTCTGCACCCAGAACAGCAGTTCAAATCCAATCCGAAATGCTTAGCGAGGAGAGTTTAATGCCTCAGCTTTGCCTTAGCGGGAGACCAAGCGTGCGTAAAATTACCAGGCATAATCTCTCTTAACAGGATTATGAATCCTTACAAGAGGCAAATCCCGTCAGAGTGCAGCCTCTCTTCAGGGGACCTAATACATACTTACAAATATCTGCAGGGTGGGGGTCAGGAGGACGGGGCCAGACTCTTTCCAGTGGTGCCCAGCAACAGGACAAGGAGCAACGGACACAAACTGGAGCATGGGAAGCTCCAGCTGAACCCGAGGAAGAACTTCTTCCCTCTGAGGGTGCCGGAGCCCTGGCCCAGGCTGGCC